GCTTCTTCACAGAATCCAGAAGTGAGCCATTTTATTCAAGTGGAAGTGAGTCAGACACACTTTATTGATGTCATGCAGAGGGATCTTTGCAGTGTCTGTTAAAAGCTCAGAAATCAGTCAATCAACCAGTCAAGGATTTATCATTGTGCTGTTAAGGGGCCTGAAAGCAAGGAGGAGGGAGAGCTAGAAAGAATGTCTCACTTGCAACCCTTAGCACCACAGTCACTTGCAAATAACAACAACAGATTACATTTGTATTTAATGTCGGGAGGATGTCCCAAAGTTGTCCCAAATATTATAAAATAGAGTTGACCGTGTGTAAAAGTACTTCCTGCATTTTACAAGAGACAGTTTGTTGTACAACTGAAAACATTTTCCCCCAAACACTGATACATGGAAAGCACCAAGATTCCCTTTGGTACCTCTGGAAATAAGTTTTGCTAATATTTAGGTTATTGCTTAACCCAGAGGATAGAGGGGAAGAGCCATATTGATGCAAACACACTTAGCATTACTCCATGTGTCACATTTTGATGCTTCAACATAATGCACCATTTCCTTCTTACACAATTACATATCCCGCTAGACAGTATTTCTAGTTACTGTTAGTTTTCGAGCAAAACAATTTCTGCAGAGAAGAAGTGGTTAAAAGTTGATAAAATAATATCTAAGATCAGTAGTGGTGAGCCTGTGGTGCAGTAGATTTCAGAGTTCTGATATTTGGATCTATATCCAGTGGAATACCTGAGCTAAAGCCTACCATAAAATACAACATAAGATACAAAGTATTAAGACCTCTTGAAGTGAATTTATTGAAAGAGACGTAATACAGTAGAGAAACAACAGCCTGAAATGGCATGAGTTGCATAAACATTTGTAACAATTTAAATAGGTAAAGTCTTTCAGTGTTCACTGTTTTAGTGTGGAATGCAAGTCTCTGCTGAAGACCTTTCTCTTCGACCGCGCTTTTGGTCACCTTCCTCCCCATCCCCCCGGCTCGGCCCCGGAATCCTTTACTGTAAAGTGCTCTGAGACACCATCCGGGGTAGAGGGCGCTATATAAATCCAAGTTGTTGCTGTTATATATGTCGTTAAACAGCATCAGATTACCATTCACAATCTACCCCTGCAACACGAAACCTACCCACGTCTTCCCAAACAAAAATAATGTGCATGAAACAAAATATAAATGGAAAATAATTCATCTGAAAACGTTACACCTCAAATAATAACAATAATAATCCTTGCATGAGACATAGCGCCTAACATTGTCGAGAGGATATCTCAATGTGCTTCACAGGATTTACTGTAAAGTGAAGTGAAGGTATAGGCAAACTTGAGCGCCAATTTGCACACAGCAACGTCCTACAAACAGGCATCTCTGTCACTGCAGCACTCTCCCACTACAAGACAGTCAGTCACCCTCGTCATGTCAAGTAAGTTGAATCACTCCCCTTCAACATTGTAGTTAGATGGGTCTGTTGTGTCAGCCAAACATACACACTGTAAAGCCTGCGTACACATCCATACAACCTGCAGAAGTACTGCCTTTTCTGAATTGGAGAATCTTGATGAATGCAGGATTCCTGCGGTACAGTGAAGGAGTTCGGGAAGGAAAGTGTGACATACTGTGGAGAGGAAAATGGGCAGATTGGAATGGAAGGAATTACATGGAGAGATTAGAATGAGTCCGGGTATGAGCGTAAGAGATTGAAAAAGGAAACGATGGATAAAAACAGAAAATGAAAGTTTCCCCGATGGTGAGTGGGTAGGAGGCACTTGGCAATGTGGGTTATTGTTTTAAACACTGAGCTGTCCTGAGTTACCTAATCGCAGCTGGGGTAGCAGTTGGAGCAGTACGATTGGCTTCAGTGCCTAGAAAACAGAAAGTTAGCCAGGATTTCTGCTCTTGATTGATATTCTCCATTCAGAGAAACCTGCTGGAAGGAGCGAGTGAACGGACGTGATCTTTGGAGCTAATCGGAGAAGCTTTCTTGCCCACCACAGCTTAATATCCTGCAAACACGAACCATCAATGCTCACACATGAGTCAAGGCCACTTGAGCGAGGTATTAATAGGTGACAGCATCCACAGACTCTAGTAGCGGAGAAAGAAAAAGAGTGAAACATCTTTGGAAGAGGACCAAAACATGAATGAGAATAGGACAATAATCCTTGCATTTGATATTGCGCCTTGCCACAACATCACAATGCCTCAAAGTGTTTCACTGATATTGCTGCAAAGGGAGGTGACTGTGCATTTTCTAGGCCAAACACGACAGCCGATTGGTGCACAACAGTGTTCCCGCAAACAGCCGTGAACCGAATGGCAATTTTATCAGGGGAAGACACCGGAAAAAACTCCATTTTTTCACAAAAGAAAAAAAAAGAGAGAATGGAATAAAAAGAATTGTTCATTTACAGCTACTATTTCCAGTGGTGTCGAGGGTTGGTGTTTTCTTTGACGAATTGTGAGAGATGTATCATGTCTGCTCTCCTCACGGCTGGAGGTGATCACGTCCAAAAGTTAGGCTTGTCATGTCTTGTTGCTGATGGCTTTGAAACAGAGAACCCAGTGCTGAGTTCAGAAGCAATCCAGTCCAGATGGACGTGCAGTCCACACTTGATGTAAGGTATAAACAGTGGTAATCCACAGTAGCACCTTATAATAAATCAGTTAAAAAATCTTTGCATTTTCACCCTGTGTCTCTCACACCACCTGATTAGTTTGGCTTGGTTGGAGTGACAGGAGATCTGCAGGCAAAACACATTTTAATAATTGTTTCATTTGATATAGTGCATTATCGCATCATCAAAGCAATTCATGGGACTTACTGTAGAGTGTAGTGACTGTGCATTTCGCCCACAAAATACACAGGCAATTCACTTTGCAGTATGTTCTGTGAAGCGCTTTGAGACGTCTCGAAGACCTGATAAGACGCTATAACAAATGCAAGGATTATTATTATTATTATTTTTATTTTTGGAGTCCCTGTAGCTCAGTGATTAGAGCACTCGCTTTGCAAGCGAGAGACCCGGGTTCGATTCCCAGCAGAGTGAAACCTTGGGCAAGTTTCCTTACTCCACACGCCTGATAATAATCCCTCAAGAAAATAAAACAGTAATAAATTGGTCATTTTAATCCACGACTGTTTGTGGGACATTGCTGTGCGCAATTGGCTGCTGCATTTCGCCCTGAAATATACAGTCAATTCACTTTTCAATCTATTCTGTGAAGTGCTTTGAGGCGACTAGAAGACGTGATAAGGTGCTATAACAAACGCAAGGATTATTATTATTTTTATTATTATTATTTACAATGCTTTTCAGATGATTCGGTGAAAGATAAAGAAATGGGGGGAAAAAATGTCTTTTTAAAAGGTTTGGTGTTGCATTCCGACAACATGTATAAGAGGATTTGTTGATATCTAAACATTGGGCAGCTGTATATGCTTAAAGACAGTGAGGAAAGTCCTATTCTACACAAAATATGCCTGTAAATATCGCCCTCTGGAGGGAAAGGGGGAAAACGATGATAGTGACTGTTGAATGTGTTTTAAATCATTTCCTCCCCTTATTTAATTCTGCACAATTTGACAAAATAAACAAGCATGAACTTCGACTTCAGAATTAAAGTATACTTTGTTGTTTTCGAAAAGCAACTGTGCTGTGAATCAGAGCTGTATAATTGCACAGAAGGTCACATCTCAACAGTAGGGAGAGTCTCTAAATCATGACCGACTCTTTAAAACTTTGAAATCAATTCAAAAACAAATGTCCTTTTCTCTTTTCCGAGCCATAAACTTTATTTTTATTTAAAAAAATAAATTGCTTACATTGTTTATTTCAATACGTGCACTGTAAAATTATATATATATATATATCTACAGAAACACGTTCAAAATGTTGTTGAGCTCAATGCTAAAAAAAAACTAACCTAATCTCTTATGCTTTTTCTCCTGCTTTGCAGTTCAGCAAGTGGGAAAAAAGCCATGTGCGGAAGACAGTGTTTTCCTTGCTCTGAATGTAAACCGTCCGCATGCGCCCGCAAAACACACAGCCACTACACTGTGCAGTATATTCAGTGAAGCGCTTTGAGACGTCTCAAAGACGTCTCGAAGGCATCTCGGAGCACTTGGCGGCTGAGCGTGACAAGGTGCTATATCGAATGCAAGGACTATTAATGATGATGATGATGATGATGATGATACGCTTTGTATCTGGAATGAAATCGACCAAACCACACTCCAAAAAAAAAACCAGCCAGTGTCTGCGTTTGGGCAGAACAAGACCTTTTAGGTGACGCTCCCCATGAATCTGTTTCCTGAGCTACTTGCGTGAGTGTGTGGTGTGTGAGTGTGTGTGTCTGTCTCTCTCATTGGTAAAAAAAAAGGATTCGAGGTAGCATTTACTCCAGATTCTCGCTAATTTGTAGTCTTGTCAGTTGCATTCGCTTTGCATTGGGCATCGAGCTGCAGATTGGATTTGGATTTGGATTTGCATCCACATCCCACTCTCCCCAGCAGTGAAGATGAAGTTCCACTGAAGTTTTCTTACAGAGCAAATAAGCTGCTGGACTTGTTCAGCTCTTTAACTAACTAACCAACCAACTCACTCACTCACTCACTCACTGACTGAGAGAGAGGGGGGGAGGAAGAGTGCATTGCATTGGGCTTCTCAAGAGAGGAATAAATTGGGGGAAAAAAAAAAGTGGGGTTATTCACCCAACAGAGACTGAGTTGCTGTGTTGTTTTATTGAAGGAGGGACTGATTGCAAGTGGGGAACCCAACTCAATCAATTCCATTGATCCGCAATCAATCAGTCAGTCAATCCCATCGCCTTTGCAAAAATGAGATGACTTCTGATCAACCCGGATTCTGAAGTTTTTTTTTTAAGAAAACCAGCCTCTTAACATATATATATCTATATATATATCTATATTTATATATTTTCTAATATATTTCAGGAGCAGCAAGAGATTTTTTTTTATTTTTGGAGCAGGAGGAGAGAGAGAGAGAGAGGGAGAGAGAGAGAAGAAAAAAAGTTTTGATTTACTTTTATTGCCAACAAAAGGGGAGGAAAACAGATGATGGATGAAGAAAATCAACAGCAGGAAAACGGAGTGGACAGTGGCAAAGACAGGGATCGACAGCTTCGGTTGCGAGTCTGTGTGATGAATGAGATCCTGAAGACCGAGAGGGATTATGTGGAGACCCTGAAGTTTCTGCAGTCTGTAAGTTATTTGCCCTTTTATTTCCCTTTAAAACCCAGTGAATCAAGTCTAATTGCAGTGCTTTGGTGCTGTGCAATGCTGTGTGCAAACCTGACTCCTGGGCACCAGTTTCAGACAGACAGAGAGAGAGAGAGAGAGAAAAGAGATGCTTTATTGGGACACTGTTTCAATTAGAAGCCCATCAACTCCTCAATTGCTGTGGCTGAGGTTTAGGTGAAGCTCAGTGTCAGAAGTCAACCTTTGCTTAGCCAAGGCTGGTGTTTTGGCTCTTCAGGGGCTCAGGTTTTAGTTTGTTAAATAGCTTCAGGGATGACTTTGAAATTGCAATTTTTTTGGAGCAGGTTTTGGTCAAACCTCTACTATTTTGCTCTGTTTCGCAGCTTAGCGGATACAACCAGAGTTAATCAGTGCCTCTGTGGCCTTCAGGTTGAATGAGGAATGGATATACACACTCACTCACACACACTCACTCACTCACTCACTCAGCTGGGCTGAAACTTAAGAAAATCTTTGAAATAACGAGGATTTTTTTAAAAAGGTTTCAGCCACCAAAGACCAGAGGAGCAACAAAACCCGAAATTTAAGGCGTTTTAAAGATGTAACATTTTGAAATGCCTTTTCTTGCCTTAGCCAATACGTTGGCTTTTATCAAACGTGCAATTTATTGCTCCCTTTTACTGTCTTTTTTTCAAAAAAAAATGATTAAAACTTCACCGTGCCCTTTTTTTTGAAAAAAACTGCCTAGGAATAGGTCTCAACTTCTTCAGTTTCCTGTTTGGCAGTTTTTAATGCCCTCATTTGAAGGTTCATTTGCTGCAGATAAGCACAGGCAACGGAAAGGTGTGCCATATGGTTTGTGTAAAAGGCTGAAATGTGCTCATTCCAGACACAATGAGGTTAAGGGGGTGGGTACGGGGGGGGGGGGGGGGGAGATGCTTTAAATCAGTCTCCACAGTCTAACAGTTCCTCCTGATGAAACATCCGAGCAGTTGGCCACAAGCTCCTCCAACGGTCTCGAGAGACAGGAAAACAACCTGACTTGATTTGCAGTATCTTTCTTATGTTGTCTGAACGTACCGACTGGGGAGAGCCCCTGTCCTGTCAGAGCGGCTAAATTGATGTCTTTTTGAGGGCGAAATCGGGCTAAGATTGCAGCTGGTGTATAATTTTGTAAAATGGTGTGTTGTTTTGTGAGGAGCAGTGCACATTACTGTTAACAGAAAGGGCCGTAAGCCCTGTTGCACAACCCCCACGTGTTGTGTGTGGAAGCTTGAGGAACGTCTGAACCACATCTCGTTACACTTTGAATCAGCAAAACAGAAGTCTATTTGGAGATTAACTCGTTCCCCTCCCCCTTCCCCTCTTGCCCTTCAACCTGGAACGGTTTGATGTCAGTGCTCTGAAACTGCAGATTTTATATTCACTCACAACATATACAGGCAGTCAATTGGCTTTACAGTGCTCTGGGACGCTACCCGGTGTGAGGGGCACTATATAAATCCAAGTTGTTGTTATTATGATATATTCTGTGAAGCACTTTGAGACGTCTCGAAGACATGATAAGGGGCTGTATCAAATGCAAGGATTATTATTAATGTTATTTTGTTTTTCCCCCCCCCACACACAACTAAAGCCATCCTAATTGTAGTACTCTATTGTAGAATAATAATTGCATTTGAACCAAGCCAAAGTTCACACTGTCTGAATGAAACGTGCAAGAAGGTGACTTAAAACTGAATTTGTGAACAGATTGGAGTAATTTCAAAAGTGCCACTGACATTTTAGAGAGACAGAATGTTTGGTTCTGTGTGGTATGGTGTAAAATGACTTATTTTCTCTTCTCTCTGTCCCCTCCCTCCCACACAAGAATCTCATTCCCTGCCCCCCCCCCCCCCCCTCTCCTTTTCACAAGGAAATCAGGCAGAGTGGAAACACTCAGACAGGGTGCCTCGTCGTGCAGTGTATTTTTGACTTGTAATCTCTAATTGAGGACCTGATATTATGTTTTACTGTGATATTACTGCTTTTCAAGGTTACAATTAAAGCACAAACTCATTTTGAAAATGAGTCATTTCAAAGCCCACGACTGACATTCAAATTATACGGTAACGTTCAGTGAGTTGCACAGAATATTTAGTTTACAAAGAATGTGTACAGCATGGAAACAAACCACACAACCCAATCTGTCTGTGCTGGTCAACACCCTTCTATTCCACACCCTTTTCCCTCATGTGAAGGTCTAGCTTCCTCTTGAATGCACCTATACTAACTGATTCAACCACCTCTCTAACAACAACAACAACAAATTGCATTTTCACAGCACCTTTCACATTGGGAGGATGCCTCTAGGCTCTGGACAGTCAAGGGTTTGGACCCAAGCTGAGGGTTGGAATCAAGAGCTTGGAGGGCAAGCCAAAGTGGTGCTTCCAGGCAATGAGTGCCACAGTTGCTCCATCCTCTGTCCTCTGGTTGATTTTGAAGACTGACTTGGATAGATATTTATTAGGTGAGAGTATTAAGGGATACGGAGCAACAGCAGGTAATTGGACTTGAGGTACAGATTAGCTATGATCTTATAGAATGGCAGAACAGGCTCGAGGGGCTGAATAGCCTTCTCCTATTTCTATGTTTCTATTTATCTATGAAGCACATTTCTATGTTTCTCTGATTCTTACTTTAGAATCCTGAAAGAAATCGGTGACATGAATAGATGTTTCATTAATTCATGTAAACACTAAAGAACATCATCTAGAAGTCATTATTTGCAGTATCAGAACGTTAAATCTCATCCTGATTAGTTGAGAGTAGCTCCAAAATGTTTATTCTAATTTAACTCTCAAGAACCAATTCCAGTTAATTTTATAACCTAATTTAATAAAAGTAAGCTTTATAAATCTACACTCTGAGTTTGTAAATTCTTATAGCTTCATGACCTTTCAAGTGGGATCCCAAATGATTGAATCAAATCTTTATAAACCACTTTATTCACAGTTACCACTGTGTGAATCTAATCTGTAAGTGAGTAAGTGGCTGCACTGCTGGGCTGAAATTGTATTTCAGTGAAACTGCAGACATTGAGCAGTGTGTGGGAAATGATGGTCGTGGCGTCCTGAACGACGCAGAAGTTGGCGTATTTTTTTAACTCAAGAAGTTGCCCAGGATGTAGGTTCTGAGTTTATTGACTCACAACTTACAACTACTGCCTCGGCTTCGTCTGCAGCTCTCGGGCAAAATTTAATACACAATTGAGTACTCACACTCAGTTGGTGGTACACCCACCTCTGGACCAGAGGTTATGGGTTGAGGCACCGCGTCAGGTCTTGATCTCATAGTCTAGGTTGATGTGCCAGTGCAGTTGTGGTGGGAGTACTGCTTTTTCAAAGATGCTATCTTTTGGATAAACTGAGGTCCAGTCTGCCTGTTAAGGTCCGCATTGAAGATCTCACATGATTCGAGAGTTTCTCACAGTTCAGATGAATTGGTCATTTACCTCATGGCCATTTGAGGGACGTCAACGACGCACATTGGCTCAACTCATTTGACACCATCCTCATTATTTCTGGTGTGTTCCATCTCAGACCGTATTTTTGAAATGGAAATGTAACCGTGGTCTGTCCCTCTGGGTCTTTTAACATATTTATGCTGCGAACATAATGTTTATTTTAATTCAGTAGCGGGGGCGGGGGCAGGGACGGTGTGGGGCTGGACAACTTAATTTGAAATAAATGAAACTATTTATAAAGCAGCACTTTGCTTTCAATGATCAAACGCTGAGTGGAAAGGCTGCGGGGAGTGGGGTGGAGGGGAGAAGGGGAGACATTTACACTTCAACAGCTTGTAATAGTAAACGTCAATGTTGTATTTGTTAACACGGGTCGAAACTGTTTTAAACTGAAATTATGTCATGCAGAATAGCAAAAAGAGTCAATGTGAGCTTCTGTTTGACAGTGGCTCCATTTCTGTGCTAAATTGGGGTGCCTTGGGCTGGTGAAAACTGTTCTTACATTTAAATGAATCTTAGCTATAGTACAAACGAGAAGCAACAGGAACCACATGCTGCTCAGGACTGAATGAATGCGCTGCAGAGGTACTGAGTATTTGCAAATTTATAATTGACTGATTTCCTAGACAATGGCCTTGAAATGGCACAGGGCAAGCGAAGAATAGAGTTATACACCAAACGCCTTTTCTCTGAGCTTTGCGAGCACAAACACTTGCATCGAGCGCAGACTTTTGGCGAATATATTGGTGAGCTTGCTGCTCCATTTTTTTTTCGAAGTAGTGGAATTTGCGAAGGACTCCGAGATGCCGTCCAACGTGAAGAACGCTATATAAATGCAAGTTGTTGTTGTTGTTGTTGTTGTGCTGTATTGCAAATGGTATCACAGGATTCTTGTTTTTAGGTAAAGCAGAATGCTTTGTTGATCAACAACAAATTGCATTTTATAGGGGGTTTCACATCGTGAGGACGTCCCAAGGTGCCTCACGTGGGTAATTGGTGTGGGAGCGCGACAGTTGGTGTGTGACATTCAATTGAACGGTTTTGAAATCTCTGCGATATCTTCTGGAACAGAGGACAGAGACGTACAGTGACTGACATGATGCTGAGTTAAGATTTCCAGCACTGAACGAGAATCTTCTTTGTGCTTTTTGTTTAAGACGTTTTGTGAGCCTCAGTATAGCCATCACCTTTATGTTCAGTGACAGTTCTTTTTTTTGAGGGGAGGGGCAATCTTATTTTTCTTTTAAACAATAAATATGCCAGTAAAGCTTCTTTATATTAAAAAAAACCTCACACTAAATGCCCTCTTTCACCTTCTTTGACTGATCAATATTTTTTCCCTCCATCCACTAAATCAATAGCATCTCAGATTTCACTCACAGATCCAGCTGCAGTACATTTTGCTGCAGATATAGATTCCCTACTTTCCTTGCTTCTTGAGTCACCATGGCTTAAATATCTATTGATTTTTATTTCTGGAGGGCACCACCAGCTGTAT